AGATAAAAACATTTTCTTTTTTATACTTTAAATAAATCAGTATAACTATTTTCTATTTAAAATAACGTAGTATAGATTCGATTCAAAGTTTTTCTGGTTTACCTGCAAATGTGATCTGTGGAAAGAAAATAAAAATGGTGATCTGTGGTAAATAAGTGCATCAAAACGCTTCCTTGCACAAAACGTGCTTGGCTTGCTTGTGTTGTTGTGGCTTGCTTGTTTACGTGATTTCTGTGGTTTACGCACGCGGCTCCTGCTGAAAGGCTGTTTTCATACGCAGGGATGATCATGCGACCAAAACGTCGATGCATGAATGATGATACATTTGAAAAACTTTTAATAATTAAAGCTAATGTAAATTTTATTGCAAATAAATAAATTGTAAAACCATTTTGTATTCGAAATGTTATTTCAAATACCTATTTTCTATTTTGTATTTTAAATAAATGTACAAAAACCATTTTGCATTTTACATTTTAAATACAATATCTGAATACATTTTGCATTTTCCATTTTAAATACTTATTTAAATGCATTTTACCCACCTCTGCATTTAAAAATATTAGATAGCCGCTCTTCCGGTTGTATCAGAAGGATACCGAAACTTTTTTTATTTTAAAAGGCATACTATCCTTTCTGATAGCATTTTCTAAAGAAAAGTCCACTTCAGAAAAATTTTGCAAGTACATTTTTTGCCGGTTTTCTATCCTCTTTCCATTGAAGCATAGTAAAGATATGGTTTCCATTTTTGAGTTTTTGACCAAAAACCGATTGTCAATTTTGAACGCTTATTCGTATTACTTTCAAATCACAATAACATTTCAAAGCGTGGGCTTTTAGTTGTTAATTCGTGAAAAAAGCATTTTGCTAGGCTGTCAGACAACAGTGATATGGCTACATAATTTACTGAACCTCTGAAACCGCGAAAAAATGTCAAATAACTTCGAAACCATGTCAGTTAGACATTATATGCACAAAGTCAAAGTTTTATGAAGAATTCGAAACTGCCATTAAAAAAGGTAGGTAGTGGCATTTGAAATAAAAAACTTCCGGTATCGTTTTGATACAACCGTAAAAAGCGGCCATCTGGAAAATATTTTTAAATGATCCCTCTTGATCGATTATTCAAAAAAGGTAATGGATCCCTAATCAAAATTCCAAACCGTTCCTGAGATACTTCTAGTGGTCCACTTAAAAACAACACCCTGTATAACCACACCTTCACCTAATCGGCCGAGCCGAAAAGGACTTTTTTCACTGCATTATTATTGAATGACTTTTTATGATAGGTAGGTACTACACGTGGTACTACAGGTAGATTTACAAGTCGGATTTCGTCATAATTTTTATTCTGTATTTCTTTTTACAGTTTCATTACTTACCTACGTGCCTAATGTTTAATTAACCATTTTTTAAAGCTCTATTCACTCTATTCATGATAGCTATACAAAACATGAAATTGATTCGTTTCACCCCATTACATTACATTTCCATATAAATGTTACAGTTAGGTACCTACCTACCTATTAATCTTTTCGCGTGAAATTTCGGTGCTAAGAGAGTTAGGGAAGTACCACACAATTAAACAACTGCATACGAGTACATATTCAGATTGTAACGGAAACGCTCCAGACATGACGTCGCCTTTGGCGCTCTGAAATTTTCTACGCGCGCGATAGTGGGATTTGTATAGGAATATTCCAGACTTATCCGGTAATTACGCGAGTGTTCTTGACTTACATTGCTTGCGTGGATAAATGGTTGCGGACCGAACATCGCAAGCAGTTTTACTACCGAACCAGATCGAGTACGGACGAAACATTGAACGCGAAAATCTGATATAAATTGCGAAGGTGTAATATAAATAGTCGATATCAATTGTACAGTTTTTATAGTGTTATAGTTTATGAAACGTTAACTTTTTTTACTTCACGTCGTCGATTTAATGCAACGCGCTATTGTTGACGTGCAGAATAAGGATGAACAAAGTACGGTTCCGAAAAGGTTACTCGATTCTAGATCGCATTGCTTACGTCAAATAATATTAATTGAACTAAATTTCGCTGAAGCGATGAATCTGGAATATTTAGAGACCTAGTATGATGGGTTTGATTTATGGAACTACCGCGCGTAGGTAATGTGTGGTGCTAAACGAATCAAATGAGTTAACGAATAAAGCATTAACCTGCAATTTCCGCCATTTTGTGGGTGTTCTTGTCGAGTCAAAAAAGTATGGACGAGAAAAGAACGAATCGTTTGTGACCCACGGGAGCATTAAATGCGTGGTTCAAAATACAGTAGTTTTTGAGGGACTCTGCGATTACCCATCTAGCTGAAAGCTATATGTTTTACTGTTGAGTGAAAGAATCGAGATTCACTCAACGGTTTTACTGATTTGCGTAGTAGTCCAGTTTGTAAACGCGAATCGCGGTTAGGTATTGAGATGTACCCAGGCCAGCTCCGAGAGACTGAGCAACTCAAGATTTAAATTCAAAACTTTCCCTCCGAAACTAACTCAACCCCATGGCACGTGATAATAGGACCACTTACTACGTTGTGTTTTTGGAGTCGCTACAAGATACCTATGTGTTGCCTGGCGAAGGGAGGATCAAGTAAGGAATACAAATAAAACAAGTACATGCTTTAAAAACGGAGATTTAATCCAAATAATTCTCATTGCAAGATTAAATTTAGAAAATGGTAGTTCACCGAGTACAAATATAAAAATAGGCTGGAAAAAATGAACTGACCAAGAAAAACCCAGCCAACAAATTAATATTGAGTTTTATAGCAAAATTTGTTGTCTGTGATGGCATAAATGCATGTTGTCAAGTACATCAATACAATGTCGAATCACAGACTCCGCTGGAATTCATAAAGAATTCATAAAGAATCAATATTTCACACACATAACGAAAAACAATCATTAAAACAGTACAATAAATTCACATAATAAGTTTGGATATTGGATGATCAGTCCAAATCCCACACCGAGTAGTCTTTAGTTGCTCTGGTCATATGTCAACATTGTATGAAATCGGTAGGAGTTGGCCTCTCAGAAGAGCATTTCACAAAGGAAGGATACCCCAATGGATACACAATGGGCACAACGGGAACACGCCGTACGCTTTTAGTAGATCCCTGCGCAAGTGAGGCCGGGACTTGTCTGCGCCCTCATGTACGACTAAGCGGGACCCCAACTTTCATTCACACATCTCTAGGGCCAGTCTAACCCACTAGTTAATAAAGTGCCGGGTTATAAATTACCGAACTTCAGGCTCTCTACAATGAGTACTGACAGTAACCGATCAAAAGACAAATCATGACATAACAAAAATAACAGAGCAGCCATCGGAAAACTCGCACGCATACATAATCATAAACAAAACATACAGCATTTATGTAGGCGTTGACAGTTGACATATTTGCACTGGCATAACAAAGACTGACACAAAACCAATATTCGGTCACTAGGTACATGTCAGGAATCGACTAAACGAATTGATTAGCAATATCGACAAGATGGCTCTTTTCAAAGACATAAAAAAACAGTACATAAAACATATCTCTGCATATGTCAGTTCTGAACTTGAATCGAGATATTAAATATCGGTGTCCAATATCAATATCAAATATAGCACAGTACATATTCGAAACAAGTCACCCTGCCAAATATTAATAATCATAATCACTCGGTTCAAGTAAATAGTATGAGCATAACGTTAAATATCACATTATAATAAAGCAAAGGAGCATGTCGTGGCAAAACATTAGTATCAAGTAATTAATTCTCAATGCCTAGTGCAATATGTAACAATCAACCACCTAATGTACGTCACTCGCCCCCAGGTGAAGCACCCTGTAAATAAACAGTAACATATTCATGCCAACAAAAGCGAAATGTGCTGCAATAAATTCAATTATAAATAAATATGTAGTTATGCATACTTGTATTGAATATCGCCCATAAGGGAACATACAGTATCTAAATACAAATAAAAATACGTAAATCGGTCAGTAATTCATGTAGCCAGCGCTTGAAACAAAGGAGTACTGTAAATTGGAAAACAACATATTTATGTAGAATCTCTATGCATTTAATTCAAAAGTATGACAAGTATAATTAAAAGCAATTAATTAAAGTAATTAAACGTAATCAGAAGAGTTTCTAGGTGTCAAGGAAATGAGAGTAGGTACATGTTTGGGATCACGTGAATTTTGTGTTTTCGCAAGAAAAAAGTTAGTGCGCAATACGTGATATAAATCGACACACGCCGGAAAAAGGAACTCATTGGGAAAATTTCGTTTGATCCTATATCAGTTTAAAAATAGTGCAAGTATTTGCTGCAGCTTATGGTAGGTACCTCTATAGCCGTAGTACCATTGTTTAAGTAGGTATTTAAACAATGCCATTAGATATACAATTTCTGTAGGTAGGTATGCACCTTTAAGATAAGGGAAGTAGGTAGTGCAGTGGAATAGGTAGATAGGTACCTATATGCCCTGGTATTTCCTCTATGCGAATGCATAGGCGCGAATCTCAAAGAGAGTTTCATGAGGTACCTAAACATTTCGCTAATTGGAAGAATATCGAAGAGATAAACTGTAGGTTCGTTCCTCTAAAATAAAAAAAATGGTTTTCGTAATCAGCAATTTGGAAATGCCCCTTGTAATCCCATAATTAACAACATGTCTAGATAGCTTTATGTTAAAAAAATAATTAAGTATCTACATATGTTCGTCGACAAGAATAAACAGCTAAAAAATACGGTGACAAAACTCCTGTTGCTTACCAAGATCAACAAGTAAGAACGTGTTATAAGATCCACCCCCTGGTGTTATTGGCGTTGTATACACCAACGGGATTTTCTAGTAGCCCTTAGAATATTGAGCTCCAATAGCAGGGGTCATATTCTAAACCAATCCTCGGCTTGTGCACCCCGCCATTCTGCAAGATTCCAAGCATGGCCTACTGTGGTTTCAGTCAAGTTGTGTTCACCGTCAATAAAGGACTTCACCCGTGTTACACTTATATTTGTGTTTTATTATTTTGTTGCCGGCAATTTATTAATAAACGAAATAGTTTAGAAATATGTTTTTGTGTTTAGTGAGAATGGTTTGAGTGGTATAGGTACTGAATAATTTATTATGTCATCTTGAACTACAGCGAGTTTCACTTGGCCTTAATGTAAAATATAAACTAAAATGATTAACGCATTTATGGACACCGGTCATCATCATTTGGCCACTTATGGTTTAAAGATGAGCCCACCGCCACACAACGGCGGAGGCGCGACGATTCCGTCGCCGCATCAAAATTCCGCGGCCGCGATGACTGCGCCGGAAGTGGGACCCGGAACACAAAATCACCACTTCCAAACAAATTACAGTCACATGAGCCACTTAAATCCGCACGCTGGATACGCGGCTAGAGATTTTTTGTTACGGCGCGACCACCACGACTTTCCGACGGCACAGACAGCACCAAGCGATCCGGTATTATTTCATCATCCGCACACAGATATGACCCACCATCAACATCCACACCTAGGACCACACCATCAAATGTTATACACGCGAACGGACCATCATGCAGCTTACCACACGCAACCAAATCACCACCAGTATTTAAACCCACACATGGCAATGCCGCACCATCCGACAAACGTTCACGGGGCATTCTTCAGATACATGAGGCAGCCCATTAAACAGGAAATGCAATGCCTATGGGTAGACCCGGATCAGCCACCTCCTAGGAAAAATTGCGGCAAACATTTCACAAGCATGCACGAAATTGTAACGCACTTAACGGTCGAGCACGTTGGCGGACCAGAATGTACAACACACGCGTGCTTCTGGCAGAACTGTACGAGGAATGGCAGGCCCTTCAAGGCGAAATATAAGTTAGTTAATCATATACGTGTACATACAGGAGAAAAACCTTTTCCATGTCCATTTCCCGGATGCGGTAAGGTTTTTGCACGAAGCGAAAATTTGAAAATACACAAAAGGACGCATACCGGTAAGTTTTCTTTTTATTTACACTGCATCCCCATCGTTATATTCCAATTTCAACCGTGTCCGATGTACAAAATGTTACACATAAAACCCTCAATAAATGAATTCAGTGTTAACTAGAAGATGAAAGGCGATTACGCGATTTTCAACGCCGTCCGTGCCCTTTGTTCCGTGATTTGAAGAGCCCTCGAGGCCAATATTGAGCACTGGTAGAGAGTTAATAGCCGTTTATAGGGCCGTTGGCGTTTAGGGGTGAACACATGTGTATGTATTTACCATTTATAATCAATGAAATGAATATTTGAATGTCAACATGTATATACAAGGACGCGATGGATTCCATTTTCGAATTTGTTTGATAAGCCGTGCGGAAAGGCGGCCAAAAATCTTTTATGTCGTATTTGAAAAGGATAGGAATTGCGAATTGACATTTATCTCCATGTAAAACTGGGCACAAAGGATTATTTGTTTTAAATATTGGTACCTAAATATAACTTTTGTACCTACCTACCATCTGGTCGACAGGTTTCTTTTGTCAAAAGTCGATTGCTAATTTTCGACATTCATTGTTTATAAGAAACAATTGGGGAATTATGTAAAATTTGTCCTTAACTTTTGTATATCTAATTACCGAACTTTAATGCAGTAAATGCATTTTTTTGTAGATAATGCTAGCTTTATCTACCTGCTCTAACGACCGTAGTGGGTAAATAGGTGACTAAGATTTTTTCTGGGATTTCTCAAATTTATCTACTTACTGCAAAAAGTTAACATTATGAAATCAAATTAGGTACCTAAGCCGAGGTATAGAATAAATAGGTACCTATCCCATATCCGACGGTCATTGAACATATGCTCAATCGTGAAGTTATACTCGGATTCAAAGCAACCTAGGGCATGTATCGAGCCGTAGGCTCATAGGTATAGGTACCTACTTAAAGAGAATGGTTTTTATTATTTTTTTATACCTAGGTACCTCGAAAATACATCAATGGCTTTATTTCAAAATTTTGTATCGTAGTCTTTGCATTTGTAAGCTAACATTGACTACCTACATATTTATAGATTAATAGGTACCGAGTGATCAGAAATGGTTGTTTCAAATCAGTACAGGTATAATATTTTTAATTCTCCATTTATTCTCCAACATATAGTAAGAAAACCAGCACACAGTCTAGTTGCCAGATTCAGATCTTTAAGCAATTTAGCTAAGGTCATAATCTGTTTTTATAACACTAATATTTTAAACCGTTTCTAAGATTCATTTAAACTCGTTTCTTAAGTTAGCTATAAAATTCATTGTTTCTTATAAAGTACGTCCTTAATTTTCCGTACCTAATGTTGTTGATTCTATTACCATGGTTAACTACCATCATTACTACCTACGCCAATCTTGAGAAACATTTTTTTCTCATGATCACATATTCATAAAAGACAAATTCGGATAAAATATGCTTCACTGTTATAAAAATGTTGAAGATAACACGGTTGTTTTGTAGTTTAAAGGACTCTTCCGGTTAAAACCTCGCTCCCTTCTGTCTACGCTCGGATTTAAATAGGCGTCGTCCTTTAAAGTAGGTACATATAAAACACCGAAGTATAGTTATCATTATAGTTAATAGCTATATCCATCCGATTGCTTCTTCCAAATGATGGTGCACTGCGATACTATGCATTTAAGTTAAACGTTTGCATAATCAATGGTCGCGTTCCGATTTGGTAAGTGGTACCACAGATTTAATAGTATATTTAAATCTGTGGTGGTACCTATAGGTATAAGAGGAAAGAAAATTCATTTCATTCATTCGTTTATTTTACCTATACAGGGTGGTGCCTTGCGCGACGCAGCATAGGTAATTTCTTTATAGTTCATTACTAGCTCCCCTAATTATTTTAGAGCAAAAGTCTAAATACGTTTTTTTCCCTTTTTCAAAACCGTAGAAATCCGCAAAATACATTACATTTTTATAAATCAGAGATGCTTTGGAATCTTTATAACAAACTACAAGCGCGTCGCATCTAATTTATCGTTGTTTGATGTCGAACGATTTTCATATTTAATTCTGTTTCAACTATCCAACGCAAGAAAGAGCGTCTATGGAGTAGTTTTTTTAGAGAATGTAATGCTGCATCTGCATCAGATACTATTTGTTTATCATTTTCCGGAACCAGAGTATAGAATCGAAGAAAAAGAAATTGATTTGAGGAACTTATATTCGGATTTTCCGCTACTACAGCCAAAGCGTTGAATGTATTGTCGTTCTCCTAAGGGTTTTGACAGATATTTTGAACGTTATTGCAATTGCAGATATTTAACACTGTGCCTGTTGTTTCAAACTTGCGCACAATTCTGTCTACTGTGGTACTGCTTGGAATCGGCCGATTGGGGTGCTTCACACCAAGTAAGGACGTTACTTGGCGGTCATAAAACAGCTTTAACATTTCCACTTTCTCTTCTAACATGATAAACAATTTTATAATTAACTAATTTATAAAAAAGTATAAATTTAATATACCTACGTCAAAAAATCCCTATGCTGCGTCGCTCTAGGCACCACCCGGTATATAGACAAGGACGGACCTAGACAAAAAAATTGGGGGGGCAGACATGACATTTTGCCAACTCAACAGTAAAAATTTCCAACTCAAACGGGTAGTATCTATTACGTATTAAGTATAAGGCGTGTCAGCAGTATATGCACTGGGGAAGTGTTCTGTGTTATTTGAGCTCTTATCAGATTGCGGATTCCACTCGGGGTTCCTTTAAAAAATTAACATTTCTGTCGAGTATATCTAATTCTTATTTTAAATAGGTAGATACAAGCATATTTTTAGCTTCCTAGAAAGCAGTTCTGTCAAGAATTTGACACCTGGTTTTTAATAAAACCTTTTCGTTGTCATTCCTCATTCCTTCAATAGTCGATTTATTACCTATATCTACGATTTACCTACTTTCGCGGCATTCGCCCACTGGTAATGAAAATGATCAACTCTTGTCAAAATTGCCAACTAGTTAAGTATTGGAGGGGCAGCCTGCCCCCCATAGGTCCGTCGCTGTATATAGATATGTGTTGGGAAATTGTAGGAAACAAATTATTGCCCGAGGCCTTTGTCTCAATTTTTTTCTTTTAGTCCTATTTCCTATATACCTATATTGATGAATTTTTTTGATAAGAATCCGATTAGCTTTTTGAGTCAATTCAAAAAGATTGTTTAATCATCAGAGTGATAAAATACTTTATGCAATTTATTGCCATACTTAGGTACCATATACAAAGTCACGGGAAAAGCAATCAAATGTCCACACACACATGCAACTTTGTTAATAATAAATCTATTTATTAACGGAACTGAATTATTCGCCATAGGTAGGCTTTACATTTTAGTAAATGGGAATGAGGTATCTGAAGTAGATAATATGAAAAAAATTCATCCATACTCAAATCCATTAGGCAAATGATGCTTTCAAAGATGTGGCGTCATGGTGTGGCGATGCTCTCTATATGGTCAATAATCTCCCGATTAATACTTAGTACTATTAGCGTCTTCGTCAACAGAAAATGCCTTCTGTAGGTGCGTTAAATGAATGGATCTCTTGAATTGGCAAGTTACTAACTTTTTTCTCGCAAAATTATTGCGATCTCATTTTTTGTGCTGCCAAAAAGACTTTTCTTATTCCTTGCTCTTTGCTTTAAGAGGTGGCGAGGTTGGGGATAGAGAATGCATTAAACACGATACAGAGGAATTTTCGCGTGGCTATGAGAATCAAAATGCTCAGTTGTGAGATGAAGGGGGGAGGGAGAATACACACACCACATGATAAGGAAAGTGTTAAAAATTACAACCTTTCTTGAAATTATCTATTTGCGTATTTTCCAAAAAAACGTCTTTCCGTACGTTCGGGTGATGAGGGACAAGATCTCGGCATTGAAGTCGTAGAAACCTCGTTGATTTTTCTGTCGTACTCCCTTTTTGGTTAAGTTAGTAGAGCCAACTATTTATTGACCAATTTCATCTAGGAAACTGCAAAACACATTGCTTTGATGCACAGTAGCTGTATAAATTTGGTGCTTGTTTCTGTCATGCTCTCATTTTGGTTAAATTGGTAGCGAAACATCTGCATTGATTTCTTAATTTCCTTGCAAAAACCGCAGAATGCATTACCTTGAAACACACTACTATAACTTATGGTGCTCGTTCCGTCTTGTTTATTTACCTAATGGATTAGTTTCTATATTTCCAATTGTGGATACCAATTCGTTATTTCTTTATGGCGCCTGCAAATAAGTCTAGATTACCCTGCATTCATTGACCACACGTATCCATTCCTCCTTTGACGCATCATCACAACTTCATCATCATCAAAACATTTAGGGGGATACCCCGTTTTGGTATGCATAGTTTGTCTCGTAAGTGATCGTTTAAAACGAAACATAAATTCCAACATGTTGTGTGGTGGCTACTTTTATATGGAAGGATTTTATCTCAAAGGTCTTATCGCATTGGGATCTCGGAAACTATAAGACATACAGATTCGGTTAAATGAGGAAAGAGTTGTCGTTTTAAGAGCTTATTTAAGATATTCTTTTGTTTTCTGAAAAAAATCCACAGTTCACTAGATATGAGCGAAAAACAAATTTAGTGATTTTTCATTTAACTGTTGTAGAATCGTTATTATTACAAATACAACAAAATCACACGAATACAAGTTTTAGACATTTTAATTTAATGATGAACATACTAATTTATTTTTAGATCTTGCAATTTTTGAGATATAATACAAACTTTAATTTTTTTAAATGGTAGTCATAGTTGGCTTTGCCATTGTTAAAAAGGACTAATTTTTCTCTTTATAATGATATAAGGCTTGCTAAACGCACTTTAATAAATGAACGCCCTGCAGTAATTTTCGTATTATTGAGAGGTAAGTAAACAAAGTTGGCCAGGGAAAACAAAATCTAGTGAGATAGGTAATGTAACTGTGGCACATTTAACATAAATTTAAAGACCATCTTCAAAAATTCACTATGAAAGTTAAATTAATAATCTTATTCAATACTTATTAAAAGTATTATGCCATGGAAAACAATAAATAAACAAAATATTGCTGTTCCTTCATTGTTGTACCTACTTGAAGGCCTCAAAGAAAACTTGGATTTAATGTTTGGCGCGCATTTATTGGATCGCAAATTTTTAGACCTTTCATTTACGACGAAAATTGGACAGGCCAATGTTATCTTCATTTTCTACCAAATGAATTTCAAGATATGTAGGATGGGTTAAATTTGGAACACGATGTATTTACGCTGGTTTCAACACAACGGTGCCCCACCGCACAAATAACTGCAAGTTAAATATTATAATAGACAGGGCAAAATCTGTTTTTACTACTCTTAATAACGCAAACAGTTCTGTATCATGTTTATTTGTCAAAGTAAGTAGTACAATGAACCTTTGCATCATTGCAAACAGAAAAAAATGCACTTTTTAAAAACGTCACAGCCAACTATGGTTGCCATTTAAAAAAAAGTAAGTTTGCGTTATAATTCGAAAATTATAAAAGAAGAATGAATATTAATAAATGTATCTTATTAAACGGAAAAGAATATACAATTTTTGTTCTTTGCATATTTCTGTATTTTTAATGCTAACGATTCTATAACAGTTAAATGAAAAATCACTAAATTTGTTTTT